TTTTATTCAGGACTGGTCAACAGATTTATGTAATAATAATAATAATAATAATAAATAAATAAAACAAAAAATAGAAAATAGAAAAATGTATCTGATGCATTTTTAAAGCAGTTTAATTCAGTGGATGTTTTCATCTGTAACATAACTAAAAGGTAGTAGATTTGAACAGTGCACAGGGATTAAAACTATTATGTTTAGAAAATTGTTTTAAAAATCTTTCTGTTAAACAGAAATTTGGGAGATATATGGGGGGGGGGGGCCTTGAGCATTGAGATCACTTATAATTTGATAAAGGTTTTAATTTGAAATAATCCTGTTTATGTTCTGTCAGATTTCTCTAGTGCCTCGTCTTGGGAAGAGAACTTGAGTAACATTGAATGACAGACGTTGAACGGCCAACCGAATAAATGTTGCTAGTCATGAATGAAGTTATAGGGATGGTAAGCACTTTGAGAAACATTCAAAACTACTCTGACGTTTATTGCTGTTTTAAAAACATCAAGAAATTTTCAAATTTCCCATCAATAAAAATGGACAAGAAACAAATTCCTATCTCAGCCTAGCTGACGGACACATCTGTTTCTATCTGGGTAACTGTAGATCTGCCTTGGTCGAGCATCTGAAGCACTTTATGCTGATTTGGGATGTGAAACTCTACTCGATTGTGTAGACGCTGCACAGGTTTTTTCACTTAAGAATTTCAATATCAAAAAGCAAGCAGATGTTTCAGGTCTGTGTGCCAGATTAAAAACAGCACAAGTCCTGTGGTGAATAATGCGTTCCTCTTTCTAAAGTCACTAACATGGCATATAAAACAATCACTTCAAGGGCATTAAAATAAGGCTGTTCTGTAATGAGCGAATACATTTTCATTGCCATTAAAGTGGAATTACTAAAACTAAACATGATAAAAATGCCTGATAAAAGATAAAATGGCAAATAAAATGGATCTGGAGTCCAAATGATGACTCCATTTTCATTTGGGGGTAAATTGTCCCTATAATTCAAACACAAACACTCAAACCTTCAAACACTCAAACACTCAAACACACGCACGCACACACGCACGCACGCACGCACGCACACACACACACACACACACACACACACACACACACAATATGTAGCCTTAAATTTATTAGGTAAATAAACTATGCACATAATTAAAAAAGTAAACTTAACAATTCCAACAGGTTTACTCACTTTTACAGTTGAAATCAGAATTATTAAACCCCCTTTGACTTTTTTCTTTTTTAAATATTTCCCAAATGATGTTTAACAGAGCAAGGACATTTTCACAGTATGTCTGATAATATTTTTTTTCTTCTGGAGAAAGTCTTATTTGTTTTATTTCGGCTTAGAAAGCAGTTTTTAATAAAAAAAAAATAAAAAAAACATTAAGATCACAATTATTAGCCCCTTTAAGATATATTTTTTCCTTAGTCTGCAGAAAACCATCCAAGCCTCACCCAAACCTGCCTAGATGACCTTATTAACCTAGTTAAGCATTTAAAAGTCATAAAGCTGTAAAAAAATAAGGGGGGGGCCTGTAAAATATCTAGTAAAATATTATTTTCTGTCATCATGGCAAAGATAAAATAAATCAGTTAATAGAAATGAGTTATTAAAACCAATATGTTTAGAAATGTGTTGAAATTTTTTTTCTCTCCGTTAAACAGAAACTGGAGAGAAAAAAAAAATAAACAGGGGGGCTAATAATTCTGACTTCAACTGTAAGATAAAAAATGTAATAAAGTCGATGCCTTTTACAGTGATAACTATTTTAAATGCAGCATGTTTGAGTTAAAATTGTGGCAATCAATTTTCAAAATGGCAACAAGCACCAAAAAAGGTATCATAAATGTGGTTCAGATGATTTGGTCTCTTTATTGAAAGTCATGACATATGAAATCAAAGTTGCTTTGACCTTTCGACACATAAAATCCTGCAAATTTCAACAGTTTTAAATGTCCACATTGTTACAAAATTGGTCCCACTTTGTATTAAGTTGCCTTAACAACACTGTAAAAAAATTACATGATCTATTAATTATGGCAGCCTATGCTTTTAGTTCATTGTAACTTGTTAAACTAAGTAAATCATGTTCTAACTTAATTGTATAAGTTATGCATGCTGTTTTAAGTCAGTTTAACATAATATAAGTTCAGTGGACTTAAAAGGTTAATTTGGTTCAGCTTAAAAATTTAAGGCAACAAGGATTTTTTACATTGTATGTTCTTGCATAAGAAATAAATACAATGTACTTACTGTGTTCAAGGTGTGTTTCAGAACATTTCTGGTTCTGTTTCGGTGGGATACAGGTAGGGTAAAGGACAGGTTTGGTGTTATGGGTAGTTTTAAGTGTGGATTAAGGTGTAAGGGATGTTGAACAGTTTATTTACACAATAATTTAATCAATCATAAGTACAATATAAAAACATGTATTTACACAATAGGTACATTGTAACAAAGGATTAAATGATTAGTTAAGGCCACAATATAAAGTGGGACCATAAAATTTAATCAAACTGTAAAAACCCTTTGTTTGCCAACAAGTTGACATGTGACATCACAGATGTACATAGTCCCCCTCCTCCAAATATCTGACTCTGTCTACACTGCATGCCAGCACTGTTGCATTCAACATAAAGAGGATTTCACATTAGAATTTTAGTAAAAAATTTCTAATAACTAATTTTTATTTATTTATTTATTTTTTGCTTTGCCATGATGAGAGTACTCAACTAGTTAATTTGGTTGATACTAGTATTTATTCGGCTTAATTAACAGTAAGTCATTGGAACACAATTTTATATATATATATATATATATATATATATATATATATATATATATATATATATATATATATATATATATATATATATATATATATATTTTTTTTTTTTTTATGTAGACAATAAAAAAAAATACAATTTAATTCTTAAACAATAACATCACATGTGAACTTCAAGGAACATATTACAGGGTTCCCACACATCTTGAAAGTACTTGAATTTTATGGATTCAAGGCCGAGGAATACTTCAAAATAAAAAGTCCTTGAAAGTGGTTGTATTAAATTTGAAAAGAAACTTGTTGGTGTTGTTTCAACAATTGTTCTGAGTTGTCATTGTAAGGTTTGAAGCTTACGCTGCTATTCTGAACCAATAGTCGGAAACAGAAAGCAGTTGAAGGATGGCATGATTAAATCCATTATTTATCGGACTCCATTGTAATTAATCTAACTCCATTAAAGTTGTTATCATCATTGATCAAGAGAAAGAATATCAACACTTTAAAGCAGGCAAAGTTGTTTATTAAGTTGCGTTTAAATAAGCAAATGGCAGAGATGTGAATTGTATTTGTGATGAACTCTGCCACACCAGGAGGACCCATCCCATTCTGCGAATGTCTCAGTAGTCCTTCATTAGCATAGAAGGAATAGTATATAATACTTTCTCAGCTTCCATCAAAAAAAATAAAAAATAAAATAAAAAATAAAATAATAATAATTCTTAATTTAAAAACAAATTGAAATCTTGCACAATAACTATGACAAATGATGCATGTTTCAGAAACCAGTTTAAATATGATCAGTATTGAATTCAACTAATTTTAATAAAGTTCTTTGAACATGACTGTTTAAAACACTCAAAATTGTTGAAAATGATAGCTTCAAAGCATCATCATACTCTGAGATTTTAATGTCAATATTAAGTGTAAATGAAATGTTACCGTGTAAGTACAGTAAGGACTTTCATGGCGCTACATGTGCTGTGGGTGTGAATTACAAAGGTGCTTGATTTAAAATGAATGTTGCTTTAAAGGTTCAAGAAACCCTCAAGTACTTTTTTGAGATTTTAACAGATTTGTGTGTGTTGAGCATCAGTTAAGACAATGTTAGCACCTGTTAACTTTAATTGTGGGGAAAACTGGATAATTTTGAGCTTTTGTAAGGTAATTTTATCTTCCAGGCTTAAAATGATTTTTTGGGAGATGATTTCAAAATCGGCGACGTAACGCAGAACTGCAAGTGCAAAGATGACGTGCTGGTTTCTCATTATTATTCATAGCTGAGTTTTCTTATCCAATGAGAAGAGCCTGCTTCTTAATTATCCATGATTGCGTATGCTTTCCGAAGGCAAGGCAGACCTGCCAGTTTCAAGCTGTGAGACCCTACATTGATGACTGGAAAAAAACGCGTCCACGGACCTAGGCAGCATACAGTATTTAGCTGTTCATGAAGGGTCGTATGTGTTTGTTTCCATGATCCACTGGTTTGTTGCATGTTTTTCCCTGCGATGCCATCAGGGCCGATATAGCAAAGCTGTTTGTGTGCAGCAAGCATTTTTGTCGGGAGAGCAGTACGAGAATTGGAGAATGGTGGACTTTGTCTTTTATCAGAAGGAGTTTGTTCACGTTTAAACACATCTCCGTGCTGCTGTGTTTGTCTAAATCCTCCAGATTACCACCAGGGCTAATAGTTGAATTAGGCAGGGCAAGAGACCTGCTGCACTGAATCTGCATTCAGACCCGGGGATTGAGGGAAAAGTCCTCATTTAGTGTTTATATAAACACGATTATCTTCACAATTGTATAAATTGTGGTTGTGTGTATATGAAATTACAAATAACAAATGTAGCAGTGCATTAAATTACTGTTTATTTCTTTGCATTTTAACTTTGTGAGCCCACTGACAACAGTTGTTCGCTCCACTCCTTCTCCGCAGCTCTGCTGGGCACGCCTACTCCTGCGTCTGATCGCAGAGCTCCACGCCCATTATGATGCATTTTTTTTAAATTCTGAGGTACCCCTGAACCGAAAGTGGGGGGTTTCATGGCCAAAAAGTCATTGAAAATCCTTAAAAAGATTGGGAACCCTGATATTAAAATCATTTAGAAAATTCAACATCATCACCTCTGGAGATTTACTCTGTAACCCCTCTCCTTTTGTGTTTCAGAACAGGTTTGGAGTGTCATGAGGGTTTAGTAAATAATACCTTATTTTTGTGGAAATTACATAAAACATTTGCTCATGTCAGGGTGGTCTCTGGTGCTTCTGGCAGCGGGACACAGTGGACGGGACGCCCCGGCAGGACTCTGCACACACAGAATGAGAGCACTAATGAGACATCAAGGTCAGAGTGTGTGAAGAGTGAGCACTGATTCCCAGCAGCTGTGAGACATTAAAGAGCTGCTGTCTTTACACTGACGCTTCACAGGCATATTAAACACAGCCTTCTGCCTAACATCTCCTCTGCTGGCCTATATGTTTAACAGCAACCTTTTATAATGACACTAGCTTGAAATAACATGATTTAACTATGCAGTACGTGTTCAGGGTAGAATAACAGATCTATTAATTAGATTTCAGGGCTTGGGGGGTTTTCCGGATCCTATGCTGGATAGGGTTGTTCAAGGAGCGACTAAAGGAACATGTTTTGCTTAAATAAGATTGAAGTTTATACTCGTATAGAAAATCTAAATTTTGCATAATGTCAAAATATCACAACCAATCAGAAGATGTTGCCACATAAGCTCATTCTGAAAATGTAGCTCTTTACACATTTTTGGAGATCGCAAATTATGTAGCCAGAAGTTTGTGTGGCTGCATTTCATCAAAATAAACGATATGGGGTGGTATGATGCAGTTCCTTTTTCGTGCTTAACAGCTGACCGCTTACCTCTATATGGACGGCTTTCTGGCTGTTACCAGTTTGTGCAGTTAGTTCCCCATGTTTGTCTGCAGACTTGAGATGCAGAAAGGAGATGACCATGACGACGGGGCTTGAGTCCGGTGAAGAGCGGTTCCAGAAAACAGGTAAGACAAAATCAGAAGACAAAAAATTCAATAAACAAGTAAATAACAGGGTGAGAATGTGGTAAAATCTGAAAATGTGGTAAAAATCAGACAAGGGCTTTTTCTGAATTACTTTTGAAAACTGTCAATAGATGCTTTTTAAAATACTATTGGTTGGGTTTAGGGAAGGAGGAGGGTAGAATAACAGGTCTATTGATAAGATTTCAGAGATTGGGGGCGTTTTTTTTTATTTTATTGCTAGTTAGGGTTGTGGACCACAACCAGTCAGAAGATCAGAGATATTTTATGTACAATGGAGGGAGATTTGTGACCAATGGGGTCTTAAAAGGAATAAAGCTGCAAAGATAGAAGTGAACAAACTAATCTCCACTAAAATTAAGTAAAATGTTTATTTATATAGTTTATTATATACTTTACATAGTTATTTCATCTATTGATAAAATGATAAAATGATCGAATGAAATAATCAAACCAAATATATAGACATATTTGAAGAATGTCTTACAAAAAAAAAAAAAAAACTGTTTAAAACTGAACCGTTTGTTATTGTAACCAAAAAATAAAAAAATAAAATAAATAAAAATAAATCATTTTTTTTTAGTTCATCTGGTTGTTGGAGAAATATTTATCTTCTTCAGTTAGTTTTACTTAATGCACTAAAATAAATTAACAAACAAATAAATAAATAAATAAATGTAAACACAAAATTTGCAATACTATTAACAAATGTAATAATAATACAAATAGTAATTATTTTTATTATTATTAAATTATAAAATTAAATTATATTAAAGCTTTAAATAAAAATTCCCATTATAAAACAAAACAAAATATATAATCTAACAAATTAGGGAATCAATATTTGTAATATTTGTTCTAATATCAAAAACAATTATGTAATAAATATATTAAAACCATTCTGTTGATCAAGGTGGCATTTATTAAATATATAAAAAAATGTAATTGTTAAATATGTATTAAAGTTTTGAATAACTGCTTTCTTATTGTATGTGGTTTCAAATAAAAAAAATACTCCAGTTATTATTGCTTTTATTACCATTACATTAATAAAAAAATAATAATAATAATAATTAATAATGAGTGATTTTTCAAAGATCATGTGACTCTGAAGACTGGAGTAATGAAGCTGAAAATTCATCTTTAAAATGACTGAAATAAATTATTAAATTAAAATATAAACTATTTTTGAACAGTTATTTTATAGTGCAATACCATTTCACAATTTGACAATTTGTAGTGTATTTTTGATTAAATAAATGGAGCCTTGGTGAGCTGGATAAGCTTATTTTAAAATATTTAAAAATCATACTGATGCCAAACTTTTGACCAGTAGTAAATGTATATATTATTATTAAAAAAAAAAGGGGGAACCAATATGTGAAATATTTTTACTAATATCAATCTACAAAACAGTTATGTAACATGTATTGTATCATATATATTTCTTCTAAAATTAAAAAAGTTGCCTGAAATGATAATTACAGACAGGAATCTACCAGAAGAACAACGATTCACATTCATCACGAAACCCAGCAGAGACAGTTATTTACGCTCCTCTATTTTATTGGACCTGTGCTCATTTTTCCAGTCTCTTTCTTCAACCTCCTTCCTTTCTCAAATATGCCAAAATGACAGAGTATAATAAAGGAGCACAGTGGCACACAACGCACCAATCCCATCAGTGCATGACTTTAATTACCAGACCAGCGCTTCGCCATAATGGGGAAAAGGTGGATATGCAAAAGACTTTCATAATTCATCCAACTTTTTCTCATTTAAACTTCTACACATTCTTCTCCCCTTCGTTTTGTTCTTCATCTCATTTCTCCCAAGCATGGCCAATCATTTCCTTTTAACAAAAAAAACATTTGCAAAATTATCAGTGCAGAGCATATCGTGCAGAAAGAATGAGCCCAAAGCACAGGTGGAGGAAAGCAGACTCTATTCCTAACCATTGCCTTCTCTACTCTATGGCAAGCCGCTCTGACGTTTATCCATGCAATGTATATCAGTAATTACATTTTCACTACTTGAGTTAAACTGTTAACTCTTAATATTGAGGATTTCCTTTACAGAGAGCCCCATATGAGAAACAATTGCCATTCAAATAGGACTCTGATATCAATCATGACGTCATTACTTGCAGAAATGAAATTATTATTATTTTTTTAAGAAGCAAAATGTTTATAATTTCTAATATCAAGAATACAGCAAGCTAGTTTACACCATTAGCTATGTTTCCATCCAAAGATGTAAATTAAATTTATGCACATAACTAGAATATTACATATTATTCCTTTCCATCCAAGTAGCCAAAGAGAACAAGATCATTGTTTCCTGATTAACTGGCGCCAAATATCAAAAGTAAAAACAGAATTTGCTGCAGTAGGAGAAGCTGCGTGAATCGTTTCTTTATTCAATGAATTACTTGCACCACAGAATACAAATGCCGACATGTGTCCTGGCGTTTGAAGGCGTGAAACGCGAAGCAGACGCTCTTGAAAAGTCTAAAGTTAATTAATTATATAATAACACTAATACTCAGCCTGCCTGTGTCACGATCACCAGGGATCCAGCCTGTGCAGATCACTGGTAAACTGCATACAACTACAAATCCACCATTAAATGGACTACATGATCCAGCCATGCACCTCTCACACACCTATCCTAGATCTCCATGATTGGCCTAGGCCAGGTGTGTGTGCCATTTTATGACTGGACCTTGTAGTCCATTTAATGGCAGATACTAATAGAGAAGATTCCAAATCCAGATCTGAGCTTTGAAGATTGAAAAATGCTTTGGGACAGATTTCATTTATCTAGAAAACACTCTGGAGCACTATGCCTCTGTAAAGGCTTGGCTACAGCTACCAGTTATATTAAGCTGGAATGTGATGCAGGCCTGTCGCTCATATGTTTGCATGACACGGTGGACACGTTGGCTACAAGATTTTTATTATTAAATATGATGTTTTAAACACACACAGGAAATGATCTGAATCGATCAAGTGTCACAATAAAGGGGACCCTTTATGCAAAAATCACTTTTTATAAGGAGTTCAAACACATTGATGTGGCAACAGTCTGTGAATAATATATACTAGCTTCTAGTGGTAAAACAATTATTACTGTTATTTTTTAGAATCACACTTAAAAACAGTTTGCAGAAACTTGATTGACACTCTCCCTTTGTATGTGTCATCAGAAGGAGAAAACGCCCATTCCCCTTTAGTGATGATCTCTCCTTTTTAGCATTGAAGTCAGTCTTGTTTTTGCCACTATGCTGACACACAGGCATTTGTAGCTCTACCCTCTTTTGAAAAGAGCACGATCTAATATGAATTTAACGCTAGTCACCAAAATGACTCAGTTAGGATAAAAACCTAAAAGAGGCAGCTCACCCTGTTTAAATAAACCCAACCAATAGTGTTTTCAAAAGCACCGATTGACCAGCGCCCACCCACTTCCCTAAAGCGTTGGTTGAGTTCAGGAAAGTGGGTCAATCGGTTTTAAAAAGCAATCTAGAAAGAAAAAAGCCCTCGACTATTTTTTTCTACGCTTTTTAGATTTTACCACATTCTCACCCTGTTATTTTTTGTTTTGCCTTTTGTTTTTGTTTTACCCGCTTTCTGGAACCATTCTTCACAGGACTCAAACCCCGTTGTTGTGGTCAACTCATCCCTGTGTCTCAAGTCTGTCAACGTACATGGCAAGCTACTGGACAAACTGGTAACAGAGGGAAAACCATCCATACAAATGTAAGCAGTCAGCTGGTAAAAGTGAAAAGGAATTCGTTTTAAAGACGAAAAACAGCCATATGTACTTTTGGCTACATAATTTGTGATCTCCAGAAACTTATATATGGCTAGGTATTCAGAATGAGCTGATGTTGGCTAATCTACAAGTAAACTGTGAAAGAACATTGTCATCTTACCTTCACTGCGAGACTTAAGAACAACAGTTTGAAGTGCCAGCAGGTCTTGTCAATCATCTCTCTTAAACGCTCCACTCACTCCAGAGGACCTTATTTATAGATAATAAAAACCTTCATTAGACCGAATTCCAACACTTGTTATAATAAACACGAGTCGTAAGAAAAGGAGCCATTCAGAGGTGTCAAACAGCCCATATGTGGCCACACGTTTACATGGCTCCGTCTACTTGTACTTTAAGAGAGCGAGAGGTCAAAGGTGAGCATCTGAAACTCGACCTTCCGTCTGTTTGTTCGGAATTAGGCACTTCTTTCTCAAGCCAAGTGAAAAGCTTCCTTATGTCAAGTGTTTATCTACAACTTAAGAATATTAAACAAGCCTGAAGAAAATGCGCACACACAAAAAAACTCTGTCTATTTGAATGAATAGATTCTACTTATAAGACGCGTGGAAGCACATTTTCACCACATCAGGCACAAGTTGTGGAAATAATGACACGTGTAAGTCATAATTGTGACCTAAAAATTCACAATACACACTGTAAAAGATGCTGAGTTCCACACAATTCCTTCATTTTGTCCTAACACAAATAAATTAAGTTGACTTAATCATTTTACAAATTTAAATGGATTTAAAAAAACAACAACAATTGAGTAGTTCAAAAGAACCGTAAGAGTTGTTCTTTCAGCTCATTGTAAATAAGCAGTTTGAAAATGCAGCAAAAGCTGTTTTTATGTAAGTGCTATAATAAATCCATCCCAGGCTCATTCTGAAAACGTAGTCCTGTGGATGTTTTTGGAAACCAAGAAATACGTCCCGGGAGGTATGTATTTTGCAGTTTTTGTTTTTGCAAATCTGCTAAAGGCCACTGTGCGCGCTTTTTCACATCTCAAATGTCTCTCGCGAGTGCTGTTCATGCCCGTGCTGTTTTCGTGTGAACCCACAAGAGGCCGCAGTTGACTGACTGAATGACTGAATGATTAACTGGATGACCAGCAAATCGACCGGCTCAATCTCCTCCTTCCCTAAACCCAACCAATTTTACAGATTGACCTGCCAACCCACTTACTTCCCCTAAACCCAACCAACGGTTTACAAAAGCCACGTTTTTTTTTTTTTTTTTTTACCACGTTTTTAGATTTTACCACATTCTCACCCCACTGTCTTACCTAATTTCTAGAACCGCTCTTCGCCGCACTCGAACCCGGTCATCGTCGTCATGGTCAACTCCTCTCTGCGTCTCAAGTCCGCTGACGTACACGATGAGCTAACCGGACAAACTGGTTGCTGCGGCCAGCCGGTAAGCACCAAAAGGAAAGGCGTCACGCCGTCCCGCAGTATTCGCTTAAAAAAATGAAATGCAGCCATACATACCCCCGGCTACGTAATTCACAGTCTCCAGAAACATCCGCGGGACTACGTTTTCAGAATGAGCCTGTGTTGAATAAATCACTTATTAAAATTAGTCAAAATTACAACTTTGAAGGTCATACGAAATTGTGACAGGTCAAAATAACAAGATAAAAAGTCGAGATTATGACTTATGAACTTGAAATTATGACTAAAAATGTCACAATTATATGTAATTCTATTATATTATATGATTATATTATATATTAAATATGTCAAACCAAAATTAAGATTAAATGTAAGTCATAATGAAAGGTCATAACACAGTAATAAATGACTAAATACAATAATGAGTTGAAATTATAACTTTAAAAGACATAAGAAATTGTGACAGGTCAAAATATAAAGTAAATATTATGACATACTTATGACTCCCCTGAATTCTAATTAGACTCACCTGCACCTATAATCACAATCCCCCATAAAGCCTCCTCGATTCCAGTCATTCAGTGGCTGGAGTCAATGTCACATGGTTCAGCTCACCTTCTCCCTGGCACGCCTTCTTTCATGGATGTTTCTCTTCTCCTATAGACGTTTCCATACCTATAAGTCTAAATTATGAGATACAGTCAAAACTGACATGCTTCAGTCAAAATTATAAGATATGTCATAATTTTGACATAAATAAATATTAGAATTATGATTAAAAAACTAAAATTATGACATACTAAATTTAAATTGACAAATTATGAGATTAAAAAGGGTCAAAATTATGATGATTTCATTTACAAATTGCACTGAAAAGATACTAAAGCTACATGCAAAATAAATATAAATGTTTTTTTGTATTTAATTTATAAAAATCATCATCGGACTTCAGCGTTTTCACTCATTCATACACATTTTACAATCATTGTTACTATGGATGAAGATTGAATTCATATTCGAGAGCTAAACTAGCTCGAGATGCCATGAATAACCATCATCCCTTCTTCAGAGAGAACTATTGGGTGACCTATCCCTTTAAATGTTTAAACTATGTGAAAGCACTTTAAAGTCGAATAAAACAGTACGATATAAAGAGTCCAAATATTGTTTCACATCCTTAAAAGCCATTTGCCATGGAGGCAGCTTTGCTACACTGGCCCAGATGTTTCTGGCAGACTTTGATCAGTAGTAAAATCGCTCATCCACAAAAACCATCGCATTCCTAGACTGCGCTTGAATAACAACGATGACACGGAAAGATAGACGCTGAGCGAGAGGAATAATTGTTGGAGAAAGCACTTCTACACGAGTCTTTGAAGTGATACAGCGTTGTTCTGGCATCGGTAGAAGTCTTGAGGATTTAGATCAACATTAGCATCTTTCATTCTTCCTTTGTCTCTCTTAATCTGCGCGCCATCTACAATCATACTTCTCATTTTCCCTTCTTAAAACCTCCCAGTGGACTATTTTTCAGTGCTCTGGAGACAAAACAGACTTCCAGTTACATCTCATTTTAGTATAAACTCCATCTCAGATGCTTCTGTTAAAATTCCTACAAACAGAAATGAATCTGAAAGATGTTTGCATAGAGTAATAGTAGAGTGCTATTATCATGATATGGCATCTGAAGAATCTAGCAAGAAAAGTTTGTGCGAGTTCTAAGATTTTGACGTTTTAGCTTTTTAAATTGCAGCAAAATCTCGAATTCACTTCACTTTTGTACATAATTGACATATTGAAGAGATTTTGTGCTCTTCTGTTTTGTTCTCTACGGATCTAGCAGCTTGTTCTGCTATAAATAGCTGCAGGGTTAATTTGATTTAAACAGAAATGGAAACATGCTGTGACCTTTAAATTATAAACGGCTGGCAGAGAGTCCTGGTGGACACCTGTGGACATCGGTGCACAGAAATGGCTGATTCCTGTACTTTAATTGCCTACATATTGTAAAGTGTGGCATTTACTGTAAAGCAGTGGCTTTTACTGGAACATCAACTAGCCACTCCACCTTATTTTGTTTTCTTAAAAATTAAATATCAATTATTAGATTAAGTATTTTTTCAGCAAGCATACATGTAGTTGTTCAAACGAGGCATTACATTTACTGCATTATACAAGTTTAGCTAAATAATTTTTTTTTAAATCCTATTGTTCTAATGTATTTAATGTAAGCAACATAGATCAAGAATTATCAAATAAAATTGACAAAAGTTTCTACATTCATTTTTCAAATATTTTTGATCAAAATTTAACAGGAATGAGCTAAAATCATGTTCAGTTGTGCTCAGAATTTACTTCTTGCAGAATTTATTAAAATGTGAATAGTTTGAACAAAATAAGTGAGATCATACAAAATGCTTGGTGTTTTTATTTAGTACCGTCTCGAGTAAGATATTTTACATAAAATATGTTTACATAGTTTACTACACCAAATTCAAGTTGAAATTATTAAAAAAGCCACATGCAAAAGTTTACATATGCTTGGTTTTCAACACTGTGTGTAGTTTCCTGATGATCTACGAGTGCTGCTTCTACTTTGTGATTGTTGTTCACAAGTATCTCTTTTTTTTTTTTTTTTTTGAACAGTTAAACTGAATGCTGTTCTTCAGAAAAATCTTCCATCTCCTGGAGATTCTTCAGTTTTCGAGCATCTTCTGCAGATTTGAACCCTTTCCAGCAGTGACTGTATGACTGCGAGATCCATCTTTTCACACTGAAGATGATTTAGGGACTGCTAAAAAAAAGGCATTGAAAAAACACAAGGCATTGGGGTGAAAACTTTTAAACAGGGTGAAGATATCCAATTTTTCTTATTTTATTGAAATCTCTTTGTTCCTTCATTTAGCACTGCCCTTCAGAAATAACAGAAAATATTTGGATTCATCTCGTAACACAAATTAAGTGCAATTTACCTTGATCTTCAGATTCTAATTTATTTTTCACCTTCAACTTTTAATGCCACTAACTGTCATTGTTAAAATATGTCAAATAATATCACACTTTTTTATTTAAAATGATTAAAGCTACTTGCTGACAAAAAGGTAAAAGTTGGTGATTTGCTGAAAAGCAGCAAAATAGAAACATTTAAAATCACAAATAATTTATATTTGGTTGCTGCATTGTGATCCTTAAACACATTCTTTTATTATGTCATCAAATAATTGTTGTTCTAAATGCCTGACTTTTTAGTTTAACATATAAACTGTCATTATGAACTATATTTTGGTATATAAACTACTGTTATTGAGTGTTTTTTTAAATGAATGTATGAAGGCAATAGAACACTTGAATTAGCTATGTTTTTTAGCTATCTGTGAGGTCCACATCAGTGGTGTGTGTGTGTGTGTGTGTGTGTGTGTGTGTGTTTGTGTGTGTGTGTGTGTGTGTGTGTGTGTGTGTGTGTGTGTGTGTGTGTGTGTGTATAAGAAATCATTCTCCAAGGCCCGCGTTCACTCTGTCTTTTTGCTCCCGAGGGATGGAGCTGCATGCTAGATGGAGTCAGAGCAGTTTTGAGCATTTTTCTTGCTTCTAATTCAGCTTCCGCATTCTGGACAAGCTCTGTCTGTCATCCGCATGTCTAGGTTTGATTTATCCAGCTCCAGGAATGCTGTTCTCACGGCCCAGAAGTTTGTATTTTTTGGTTTTGCCCTGAGTGATGGTATCAGTCATTCCTGGAGATGTACAAACCGACTTAAAGTGGCTGAAAAAGCCACAGACTTCTTCGCCCGAGGCGGTTTTACAGTTCCTCCAACTACTGATCAAAATCTGAATGTTCACTCTTAAAAATATAGGCTTCAATCGCCTTTATAGGCTTTGATTTTTAGCAGTGATGCTATAGAAGTGTCATTCTGGGTTCCAAAAAGAACAGTTTAGTGAACATGTCCTAAAATATAGACCCAAAACTCTCAAAACAACTTAAAAATATCCACAAATTCATATGAATTAGGTAGTATAACGTTCAATGGATAGTGAACATTTTTTCACTATTTGCTTACCCTTAAAGTGGCTCCAAACTATTATGAGTTTCTTTATTTTGTTAAGTACACACAAATACATATATTTTAAAGAAAGCTCAAAACATCTATCCATTGACTTCCATAATATAAAAACAAATACTATGGTTACAGTCAATGGTTACAAGTTTCCATTTGCTTCAAATGATCTTGTTTTGTGTTCAATAGAGTAAAGAAGTCATATGGTGAGTAAATGCTCACAGAAATTTTGAGTTTGGCATTAAGTATTTCTTTTCCCAGAGATGGGTTGCGGCTGGAAGGGCTTCCGCTGCATAAAAACTTGCTGGATAAGTTGGCGGTTCATTCCGCTGTAGCGACCCCGGATTAATAAAGGGACTAAGCCGACAAGAAAATGAATGAATGAATTAAGTATCTCTTTAAAACTGTATTCAATGAACAGATTTAATGATTTAATGAACTGATTTTTAATTAAGATCAGTTATGGGGCCATTCACATATTGTGTCTTTTGTGTGTGCAAGTTCATTACTTACAATGGAGGCACGTGGCTTGCGCACGTTTTCCAGGCACCCTCAATTGAAAACATAGCTGCTGCCTCCAAAATCTCATGTCTTCATACTATATAGTACGTTATGTTAACAGTATGCTAACCGAGTAGTATGTCTGAATTCTTGAATTCAAAAAACATTATGCGAGAAGTATACACGGATGACCTATTACTTCCAGCGAGATTCTGAAGTGTGCATCTGATGGAATCTACGTTATCTCATGATGCTTTATAAGAGAACTCATGAATGGGAGTGAAGCGACACAACTGACGTGATCATGACAAAATGGCGGATGTAGTATTTCTAATTTTCATTCATACTACTCACATTCATACTGTATACATACTTTTCTAACGGTCGAGAAGTAAATTTAAATTCAAAATTAGTACTTAATGAGTAGTAGGTGATTTCAGATGCAGCCATGAACTTTTCAGAATGCCACCAATCAGCTTCACGCTTTGTATAGAATATACACTGCACTCAAAAAATATTTTTGCTGCTTGTTCAAAATTCTTATTTATAATGAGCCGAATCAACACAATTCTTGAGGGTTTTGTGGGATAACTGAATTGTGTTATGGTCAATCAACTTAACTTTGTAAAAACAATTAAGTTACCGGAAGGAATTATGTGGAATCCTGCAGTTTTTTTACACAATCAAAGAAATTTATTTATTTATTTTTTAGCTTGTTCAAACTACTTATTTAAAATGAGCTGAAACTTGAGATTTCATTGGGACAACTTAATTTTTAATGTTTAATTCACATAAATTTGTTAAAAGTGTTAAGTTAACTTAATCAATTTGTGTTGAGACAACATGAATGAATTGTGTGGAACCCTGCATTTTTTACCGTGCAGTGTGTGAAAAAAGATCCACAGAAATTTTTCATGTTGTCCCAATAAAAATGTATTAGGTTAACATAATTGTTTCTACACATTCAAGTTAGTTGAATATAAAACAATTAAGTTGTCCCAAAAAACCTTTATAACTGTGTTTTAACTCATTTTAAATAAGTAGTTTCTCGCTTACGAGCTGACCACTTACCTCCATATGAACGGCTTTCCTGCCATTACCAATTTGTCCAGTTAGCTCGCCATATACGTCGGTGGACCTGAGACACAAAAAGGAGCTGACCACAACGATAAGGTTCAAATCCGACGGAGAACGGATTTAGAAAGCTGGTAAGACAAAAACAAAAGCCAAAAAAAAAATAAATCAGTTAATAACAGGGTGAGAATGTGGTAAAATCTGAAAACTTTGTGAAAATCAGGCTTTTATTTTTCTTGATTGCTTTTGAAAACTGTCGGTTGGCTTTAGGGAAGTGGGTGGCCGGGCTTTTGAAAACACTATTGGTTGGGTTTATGGAAGAAGGAGGGTGAGTCTGTCAATCACTCAGTCAGTCGACAGCGGCCTCTGGTAACAGGCGCGAACGCACTTGTGAGAGAAATTTGAGAACTGAAAAAATGTTCACAGTGGCCTCTGTTGGATTCACAAAAACTGCAAAAAAAAAAAAAAAAAAAAAAAAAGCTCCTGGGACGTATTTGACACTCTTCAGAAATGTATATAGAGGTTTGTTTTCCGAATGAACCTGGGTTGGAAACAATGGTTTGTCAATCGCTGAAGGAATGGTTGATGTTTGCCTACAGACTGACAGATGCCACGGTAGATTGTAAAGCAATTGTAAAGTGCATTGAAAATGTTGAAAGGCTTAAGATTTCCACACACTTTTAGACATGTCATGCGAATGGCCCCTATACCGCTATATATACTGCTTACAAATCTCTTAGATTGATTAAATATTTTTTTTTTCAAGTTCCGATAATTAATATTAAATGTTTAACCCTACCAAATCAGATGTTTGGTGCCACATTTTGTAGAATTTAGTGGCATACTCTCAAAAATTATTCCTAAGCTCTGCATGTTTTTAATAATTAAATATAATCTAACTGATGCTGTTTAAACACTGTGTAGTTCAAACTCAGATTGATCGAAACTCTTTTGTACTTGTCCAAGTATCGACAAAGTGCTTTATTCTACTGCTCTTCTAATTACCCGAGTCTTTTTAATAGCTTATGCAACCACAACAGGGCTCCTCAAAAAAGGGCCAACTTCACAGAATCGATCCATGCGAGTCTACTACGATCCAATCAGAGAGCTAATTAAAAGGTTAACGTGTTGCTGCTCAAAGAGAAACGGAGAAGCTTACATTGCTGCGGTTGAAAATGGTAGCGGAAGCCCTCCTCTCTGGCCCCTGAACCCTTCCTTCAAAGACGAGCTGGAATCCTCCAAGTATTGTGCGGGCAGGCTGTCTTCCAAACTGGCTTCCTTCTTCCTTAAAAGCTTTTCAAGAGGATGGGAGAATGAATGAATAACATTGATAGCGTGCACTGCTTTTTAAGACGCAGGCTGAGAATGTGGCACGGTGCCTAAGCAAACCCTAAAGCGCTATGCCCCATTGCAGCGCATCCTGACACAATGCCTCGTGTAATAGAGGCCTAGAAAACAATAGCTTTCTTTCAGTTTTATCAGACTCATTGTGGAGGAGCTTTCATTCCC